ATAGGGTGACCCCCCAAAAATGGGAATTTTTGAAGTGCGTATTGCCAGACATGAGCAATTGGCAACACTGCAAGACAGTGACCTTGAGCAAGTAAACATTTCGCCATTTAGAATTCAAGATGAAATTCACAGTATCCAAGCTGGGATGTTGCAGCAGTCAATGAGGAATCTCAACAGCAGATTTCAAGAATGCATTCGTACAGGAGGACGCCATCTACAGGACGTAATTTAAAAAAAAATGAGAATTCCATCATTGTTTCTTAAATGGCATATTTTAAGGTTTCAATTACTATTAATAAAATATTTTTCTTCCGTCACTCTTGGTTTTATTGGAATGTTAAAAAATTCCCGTTTTTTTGGGTCACCCTGTATTTTAGAACTGCTTTTTCTTTTAATTGCTGTTTTTGTAGTGGCCGTGGTGATGGCCGTGGTGGTGATGGCGGCGTTGGTATGGGTGGTGTTGGCGGTGGTGGTTGTGATTGTGGTGCTATCATCTTGCCAGAGAGTAATTTTAAGTGCCTAATTATCAAGTTCACTCTGGTGCCTGTGAGTAAAAAGGGCACAGTAGGTGAGTACTCTACGCACATTTGGGACGTTTCGTTTGGATGAAGAGGATTTTGCGGACGTTATGTGAAATTCCGCACAAATTAATCCTTTGTACCTCTCAGGTGCAGATGTATCCAGGGATTTTAAGCACATGATTTTCGGTACCATTCTTTATAATTTATATTTATTCTTTATAATACAGGGATAATTGTCGTTTAAGTTTCCACATTTATTATTATTATTATTATTATTATTATTATTATTATTATTATTATTATTTCCTTTAATTTATGGCGTTTACACATTTCTTTCAGGGTCCTGCCCAGAGGCCTAAGGTTAAAAAATGGCGTCATGATATTTTCCACAGATGAATTAAAAAAACAAAAAAAAAAACACACTCACTCCTCACCCTAACTCACTCCTCACTCACTCAAATTTCTTTCCTCATCTCTCTCTCTCTCTCTCTCACACACACACACACACATACACACATTTTACACAGATAAAGCCCTTCGTAAGATGTGGGCTGTACACCTGAGAAAAACTTTTTGCATTTCTTAAAGGCATGGGCTTCCAGGAATCCCTTCAATTAGTTATTATTATTATTATTATTATTATTATTATTATTATTATTATTATTATTATTATTATTTCCTTTGATTTATGGCGTTTAAACATTTCTTTCCGGGTCCTGACCAGAGACCTAAGGTCAGAAATGGTGTCATGATATTTTCCACTGATGAATTAAAAACACACACACACACACACACACACACACACACACACACACACACACACACACACACACACACATACATTTTACATAGATAACGCCCTTCGTAAGGTGTGGGCTGTACTCCTGAGAAAAAAAATTGTATTTCTTTAAGGCATGGGCTTCCAGGAATCCCTTCAATGAGTCTACTGGAATTTTATTATTATTATTATTATTATTATTATTTTAGTGTCGCATATTGACTTAGTTAATATGAATTCCGGTCTTGTGGGATAGTGTTAACAAGACTTCTTACAATTCTTGGAGAGTAAGAGATGGCAGTTCTCTGGAGTTCTAAAACCTTAGTATCAATTCCAATACTTCATAAGTGCTTTTTCAGTTTTCTAGGCAGTGTTCCAATTATTATTATTATTATTATTATTATTATTATTATTATTATTATCTCCTTGGATTTCTGTTGTATACACATTTCCTTCCGGTTCCCAATCAGAGATCTATAACTTCATGAAAAAAAAACAAAAAAACAAACCTAAGTTCAGACACATTTTACATAGATAAAGCTCTTCTTAATATGCGACCTGTATTTGTGAGTACAGTCTTTTGCATTTCTTTAAGCTATGGGCTAATGTGGAATCAATTGCTAGGTCTGCTGCTAGGAAAGATGTTTCACTGTGTTTTTCTACTCAGTTTCCCCCTCCAGAATCTATCTTATATATTTTTAAGTTTACCGTTCGTCCTTGCTTTGAAATATTGCCGCCATATCTGGTCTGGTTGATCCTACCATACATTACAAGATTCTTGACAAAAATTAAATACTGTAATGTAATCGATTTTAATATTAATGCGGGTGGATGTATTTTTTTTTCTAATTGTCATAAATACGATTGCTGATGTCATCAGTTCTTGATTTGTTGTCAATTCTGACGACAACCTTACCCCTGCCTTGATAATAGGTTTAATAAGAACAAACTATTAGCGGGTATCAAAAAAAAACTTTCAAATCTGTTGTTAACTGGGGCAAAAAATAGCTTGTTAATTTTAATGCAACTAAAATAAAACTGCTCTTTTTAGTCACCATTTTTATGTCTTTCATCAGCATGGCTGATGCTAACCTCCAGAAGAGTGACTGGTTGCGTCTTTTTGGTCTATTGTCACCCACAGACATTAAGTAAAATGATTGAATCAATGTCTAGCTCTGCCTCTAGGAAAGTTGGTACACTGTGTCGTTCTAGACAATTTTTCGCGCCAGAGTCTATCTTACACATTCATAACTCTACCATTCGTCCTTGCTTTGAATATAGCTGCCACATCTGGTTTGGTACTCCTGCTATATATTTAGGAATTCTTTAATAAAATCTGAAGAAGAATCAACAATGTTATTGGTCCTGACCTGGCATCTCGCCTCAACACACTTTCCCACCACAGTAATGTAGATTACCTGTGCCTTTTCTATAAATACTTTCATGGTAATTGTTGATGAACATTCTACTATCGTAGCTAGACTTTATGAATTTAAGCGCAGTAATAGCGATGTCAAAACTGACAAGAACATGGAGGAGCAAATTCAGCTTTCAAAGTACAGACTCTACAAATCGTTGGTAGTCTCCATTCTCTTACATGGAGGTGAAACGTGGACACTGTTGGCAGATACAGAGAGAAGGCTCCAAGCGTTTGAGAACAAATGCATGAGAAAACTCATTGGCATTTTCTATTGGGAACATTGTCGGAGTTAACTCCTCCTTTAGTTCGTTAACCCTTTCACCAGGGGTGGCTCTTCGCGGCTATAAATAGTCGCTGACCCTTCGCCTCTTTCTCTCTTTTTCCCCCCAGGCCTTTGGGCCGACACCTGGAGGTAAATCTCTCTTTTTTCTTCAGGCTTTCAGCCTTACCACCTCGAAAATGTAAGCGCTAACAGGGATAGCGGTTCCCAAATGCTGGGAACACGCTAAGCACAATACACACACACACACACACACACATATAGAATATTCACACACACACTTTGTCCTTTGTAACTGTTTCCATGTAACTTGTTATTAATATATATATATATGTACACACATTTTGTCGGTCTTGTGTTTGTTTTTCTTTGCCTTCTTCTTTGGACTTAATTAAAGTCCAACTTTCTCATGTAGTTGGGCTGGCTAGCAGGAAAATCTGAACCCACATGTGTTCTTCTTCGTCTGCTAAACAACATCACAGCCACGGTCCACTACAACATAAAGCCAATGAATTTGTGCGGAAAAGGTTTGAAAGTTTTGTGGGACACCAGAAACCTCTTTTCGTCACTGTCGAACCGAGAAAAATGGCGTGCTTTGGACACATTAAAAGCACGACAGCCTGTGCAAGACCATCATGCAAGGCATCGTTGAAGGTGGAGGTAGGAGAGGGCGCCAACGTAAAAACTGGTTGGACAATGTCAAACAATGGACAGGTATGGCTGTACCAGAATTGCTGATAGCTGCCTTTGATAAGACCGTTGTGGAAAAGAGTTACTGTGGCTTCTGCATTTGGATCCGTCCTACGGTTACAAAAGTCAAGGTGATGATGATGATGATGATGATGAATGTAATAAACTTGACTGGAATTCGAACACATTCAAGCTTACGTCAACTAATATTTCCCGGGAGTGAATCATGAATCGAAAATATACATGATCGGCAAATTATGTATCACGCTTGAAACCTAAAGAAGTATTGATAGCGACCATGATAACTTTATGTTTGTTTCTTAAATTATTATTTTTTTTAGATCAGTAGTCAATATAATTATTATTAAACTATTATAATTGTGCTTGGGGGTGGGCACGGTGCGGTAATGGATTTATCGGATGGGGGAATCGGAGAGCCGAGTTCGAATTCCAGTTGAATCCATTACATCTACTTACGTGAGAATACCCTTGGGAAAGGTAGGAATCCTCTTCTCTCCCCCCAGCTATGGGTAAATAGTAAGACATACCGGGTTCTGTAGCCTTGGAAGGCAACTGGTCCACCTCAGAAAGAAATGTCAGTCATATATCAAAAGATACATGATCGTCTACGCGTGTATCACGCATGGCGTACAACTGACTGAGATTTACGCATAAGTGAATGTAACACGACAGCCTGTACAAGACCATCCTGCAAGGCATCGTTGAAGGTGGACATAGGAGAGGACGCCAACGCAAAAACTGGTTGGACAATGTCAAACAATGGACAGGTATGGCTGTACCAGAATTGCTGATGGCGGCCTTTGATAAGACCGTTGTGGAAAAGAGTTAGTGTGGCTTCTGCATTCGGATCTGTCCTATGGTTGCAAAAGTCAAGGTGATGATGACGATGATGGCGAGGATGATGAGGATGATGGCTAGGTTGTCTCATCAATTTACAGCTGAAATGGCTAGATACGGTGGTTCAATTGACGACCGACGAAACAATCTGCTGCATACGATGCAAACGATGCATTCGCGTGTACACAAGGCATTCGAACACCGCCCGCCCACTTCTGATCGCAATTTAAACGAACGAGTCCGATTCGAGCACCGAGTCGCAAGAAAGATATTTTCGGCGTATCGATCATTGCAGTGAGCTCTTAGACGAGACACGAGGACATACTCGTCGATTTGTTTCCGTCAACCGAAATGTCCGACGGGAAAACTGCGGACGGCAAACGACAAGTTAAGGACAAAAGCAACGTCAACGGACATGACAAACACGACAGAGCTGTAGCCGGGTGTGTTTAG